GCGGGGTGCGTGGGGGGGGGAGCACGGGGTGACCGGCCCGGCCTGGACTCACCCGGCTTCAGCTGCACATGGCCGCTGCCCCTAACCTGCGCGATCCTGCTGTTGTCGATGGGCCCCGGAGGCTCTGCGGGGCAAGGGACCGGCTCACAGCGAGCGTGCACCCCCAGAGGACAGCTCTGCTTGTGACCCAGGGTCTCGTGGGCTGGGCAGTCACTGCCACCGGGATGCACCCCAGCCCTGGTGCTCTTATCTCGGACAGCGTCTGGGCTAAGTTGCCCGAGCTGGCCTCCCACTCGGGACCCTCTGGCCTCAGCCTCCCGAGTCACTGGGATCCGTTGTGCGCCCCACGCCCAGCTGAGCTCTGCTGCCCTTTGCCCGGGACTGGGGGTACCCCGGGAGCGCCCCGACACGGGCAGCAGCAAAGCCGGCCTCGAGTGTCGGGCCTGTGTGTGCACTCGGGGCCCGCGGGGAGGCTGAGCCCCGCTCACCGCTGTCCTTGCCCTTGACGAAGGCCTCCCACTCGCGGAACCACTGCATGCTGACGCAGTGGATGACACCGGGCGACTCCTCAGCCTGGAAGGCCTTGTTCAGCTGCGGGACAGGCATCCGGTCACCTCTCCCCCTCCCCTCCCCCACCCGCACTGTGCTCCTCAGTCTGCAGGCCCAGGGCTCCCGGACAGTCCCAGGTGGGTCTGGTCCTGTCGCTGAGGTCTCCCCTGCTTGGCCTGTGGCACTGGGAGAAGCCCAGCCCCTTATGTTTCAGTCTTGCTAAGGTGCCCAGGCTGGGCTCACAGGTGTGTACACCAGGCCCGGCCGACGGAGGTGACGTGGCGGATGCCCTGTCCCCAGTCACGGGGACACCGTCTGCTCCCGTGATGAACTGTGCTTCTCACAGCATTTGGGGGGCTGGGGCCCCGCAGGACCCACTCACAGCCGTGAAGCAGACCCCAGCACCTTCTACCCAGCTCCCTGATTTAAGCGACTTGGGGTCACCAAGTCTGCAGCGACTGCCAGGCACCGCGGCAAAGCCAGAGGGAGCTGTGCCCGTGGGCAGCGGCCAAGCACCCGCACCGCACAGGGCGGCTTTCACCCTGCGGTCCTCAGCCCAGACCCAGAGCCCAGATAAGAAAGAGGCCGAGGCAGGAGGCACACGAGTTCAAACCCAGCTGGGTAACTCAGCAACTTAGCAAGACCTTGTCTCAACCATAGAAGAGCGGGGGCCGCAGCTCAGCGCAAAGGCCCTGGGTTCAACTCCCAGCAGCCGGAAGGAAACAGACGCCGTCCTGACTGCCAAGCGCGCCCACCACCCGCTGCCAGCCACGCAGCCTGCCTTGATGAAGGTGTCGATCTCCGCCTTCCGCCGCCTGGCCAGCGCCTCGATCTCCACCTGGC